AAATGTGTCGCATTATGGAAGTATAACAGGTTGCGAATCCCGTTTTCGTGTTGACTGTAAATGAAAACGACTTGAATGCCAATTATGCCCAGATTCGGTTTTTGATCTGTTAAACGAGACACAGACCATCCAAAGCCCTAAAGTTATGGACTTAATCCCATGAACACACACATATCTGTTAGAATACATTTCAATACATTAGCATAGCGCATCTGCATTTGGCCTTAGAGGACACACACACACTTGTATCATTCTGTTCTACGTGTCCAGGGACTGAAAAGGATGCACACACAAACACATCCATTCATCTTATGTGCGTGTAGGCGTGCGTATGTGTGTGTGTGTGACGGACTTCAAAGGCAGACAGGAATACATCTTTACTAAAGAACCCCAGCTGCTCAGGGCCATTTAGCCCTGGACCGCTCTCGCATCACTCAATCAACAAGGGACAGTCTGTTTCTATGTGTGTGCGCGTGTGCAGACCGTTCTAAATTGCAGCCCGACTCTGATAAACAATTCCTGCTCTTCACCTCTGGGTGCATTTATATTCTATGCCTCCGTTCTCACGCGCGCACACACACACACACTAGGGCTGTCAAAATGACTGAAAAACTAAATTCGAATTTTCTACTTAAATATGATAAAAATTCGAATTGTATTAGAATTTAAAAGGCATAATTTCAGTTAGGGGGAAAAAAGCTTTTGGCTTCTCTCCTGAGGCCACAAGAGGGCGCATCGAGCAAAATATTATGCACATTTCTTCAAAGTGAAATAAAATAACACAACTATCTTTGAAAAAAAGTGCATCATGTTTAAAATAATGTTTATAAACCATATATAATTAATAAAGTTGCTTAAACAATTAGAAAAAAAAAACAGCACCATGCATATATGTATAGTTTAATACAAAGGACCGAAAACCAATCACAAAGAGTAGGCTACTTTCTTCATTTAAAAACATGAGATAGAGAGGGATGGGGAAAAACCGCCATAACGTCTTTAGACATGTTTTTTTTAAAGTTGAACTTGCATTAATTTTACATGGCTTTCTAAATATGCCGCTCTCTGCGAGACGCGAGTGCAACGCTGATAGACGTCCCTCTAGAAAATGTGATAAATATGCGTTCTGTGTGAACGGCATGGTTTCAGTTTTGATGTAAACAACATCTTCTCCACACTGATGCTCTCGTTTTCCGCAATATATTGAATGAACAACGTAGCATTGCCGCATCTAGTGGGTTCAACTGGATAGGCTAACAAAAGCATTCAAATGCAATCAATGACACATACATCGTCATCGCATCTCGTGCGCCACTGATAAGGCTGCCTGACGGCTGACGCAGACCTTAAATTCGAATGCAACGTTTTTGCATTCGAATGTGGATTTTTTTTTTTATTCGACGAATATTCGAAATTAAAAATGTTTTTGACAGCCCTAACACACACACACACACACACACACACACACATATGTAGGGCAGGTGTTCTGTGAGGCCGTCTGTTCAGAAGCACCTCCCCGATGATGCTCAGGCTATGGCGGTCAGGCAGGGACACACGCGGGGCACAGGATGTGACGTCCTGTGCTGAATCGTAGATTAAACCACTGAGACCGCAACTCAGCACAGTTACACACCCTTGCTGGGATGTGTGAGAGTGTGAGTACTTTTCGGCTGGGTTCCAGTGCCCAATCTGTAATAGACTGGTACATTTTTACCAAAAAAAGGATGTATCTGGATTGACAGAACATCACACTGTCACCTTAAACCTACAAGTCTTAAACCAGGAAGCACTAACGCCAATAACCAAGGGTGTGGAATATTGTCCTCACTGCGTGAAGCTAATAAAACAACAACTCAAGATGCAAAACTAGATTGCTTCCATTATAATCCAGTAGTCTACACTGCTGTGGTGCAGCATAATGCGATGCAAGACTTGATGGACAGTATGGCACACAAAAGTAAAGCTCCAGCCACTTAAAAAAAACTGTGTTTAATAAAAACATATTTAATATATTCTAAATATTTAAAATATTTAGTATATTGGAATAAATATTTAATTATTATTTGTTTAATTTATAAAAATATTATATATGATGTGTAAATTGCTGTGTGCAACAAATTTTATTTGTAATAAATAAATAAATAAATGCAGACGTTCAGTGAGTTCCCAAAAATAAGTGTAATTTAAATGAAATAAAGTACAGCGTTGGCTTGTGGGTGAGATGCAACACTTGACGGACAGTGCAACAGGCAAAAAAAAAAAAAATATATTATTTAATTATTTAATTTTTATTTGCTTCCTTTATATTAATATTACACATAATGTGTCAAATGATACATGCAATTCATTTTATTTGTTAAATATTTAAACAAATAAATACAATTTGTGACTTCAGTTGTTGAAGTTAGTTCCCATAAACAAGTGTAAAACTCTTGAAAACTAAATAAAGACTGCAATGTGTCATGTTTGCTTGTGGGCAGGTTATGTATTAAACTAGTCGGTTGCGTCAGCGGAAAGTCACGGAAACTAAAGTGTGTGCGAACTTGAGTAAGATCTCGGGTTATCTAATACTGTGTGTATATGTTGCTTCAGGACACTTCAAGTTGAGTCCTGTTAACTGGCACACTTTTCTTAATATAATCTGCCCATTAATTGGTAATTTTAAAAGGTGGAAAACTGTCCTTATGGGAGAAAAAAAAAAAGGAAAACCAAATACTTTTTAGAGAAAATCAGTTCTAATTGGCGGACGCCACAGGGAAAGACAGGGAAGTTAACGCTCACCTTGCGACTTTGTTGGTGGAGAAATCTTTCAATATCGTCTAATTTAACAGCCGAAGACGCACGCAGACGACCTTTTCCTAAATGAAAATGGGTTAGAATGAAGCTGAAGGCTAGCGGCGGCCATTACGGCCCCACGGCTGTGCCAATCACACACCTCGGCTCTGCCGGAGATACCCGTCGCAATGCCCTTCAAGTTGAGTCCTGTTAACTGGCACACTTTTCTTAATATAATCTGCCCATTAATTGGTAATTTTAAAAGGTGGAAAACTGTCCTTATGGGAGAAAAAAAAAAAGGAAAACCAAATACTTTTTAGAGAAAATCAGTTCTAATTGGCGGACGCCACAGGGAAAGACAGGGAAGTTAACGCTCACCTTGCGACTTTGTTGGTGGAGAAATCTTTCAATATCGTCTAATTTAACAGCCGAAGACGCACGCAGACGACCTTTTCCTAAATGAAAATGGGTTAGAATGAAGCTGAAGGCTAGCGGCGGCCATTACGGCCCCACGGCTGTGTCAGAGGCCTTGATGAAGCAGGACCTGAGAGAGGCACTCTAACTGCTGCTAAATGAACTACAGGAGCACTCATCACCCCGTCTGAAAGCCAATCACACACCTCGGCTCTGCCGGAGATACCCGTCGCAATGCCTGTGTGTGCGCGAGAGAGAGAGAGTATAGGACTTGAGTAATGCTCTCCCACTCGGCCCTGACTCATCCTCCATAAGAGTGAGAGGATGGGCGGCAATGTGAACGTGTACATGCCATCTTCCTGTCTGAGTGTTAACAACTCCGCAGAACCGAGGTTAATGCCTACGCTTTAGAGCTATTCTGAAACCCATGAGCTACCTCACTGTCTACCGCCTACATAGGCGGCATCGGAACCAAAACTAAACCACATAAATGACTGATTTGGAACATTACTGCGTTCAAGTCGTGTTGAAAGGATGATATTTATGAGATGAGCGGACATGAATGCCAACACAATGCCGTACTTATGAGTCTGAAACTCTTAAGTTCAGACTTTCTGAGTTGAGGGTGTGTAAATTAGAGGTGGAAGCACCATTTCAATTGTTATTGTTGACAATTTGCATGCATTTAATGAACTGTTTAATGAATAAAGCACATACTTTAGCTGGTTTCAGGATAGTGCGACCAAGCTACATTACCCATCATTCTCTGTAATAGCACATTTGCAATATAATACACTATTAATTACACACATAGAGGCCATTAACACAGAAGGTTTGTGAATTCTACTGCCTTTCCATTATTTTTCTGTTAACATGCTAAGCATGTCAATCTTTGATCGTTATGCTGTCCTGTTGCAGCTTATTGCGCAAACGACTCTCAAGACCTAGCTTTTTTTCATTCCACTGCAATGTTGCCAAGTCCGCGGTTTTACCGTGGATTTGGGCTACTTTAACACTGTTGCCGCAGGTTGAAATGGCCCCAATAACGTGATATTTAACACCTGGCATGTGAATTTTATCAGGCAACCCCACCAAAAACAGTGTATTTTACTCCACTGAACTTTTTGAGTAGAAATTGGGCGGGTTTTCTTGTGATAACCTGGCAACCCTGTTCCACTGCCTTATGTTTCATGTATTTAAACTCAAAAATGTGCTGTGTGAATCTTTTGTGCTTAATTGTGTTGTACTGCAGTTTGAAAAAAGTTTGTTCGTACATGATAAACCGAGAAACAAATATGGAACTGACCAACACATCCAATTAAAATAATTCGAGTTTATAAGTAGAAACTTTCAGAAGGACATAAAGGCAGCAACGAAGCGCGCAAACAGCTTGGAAGACTCCAATTTAGTTTGATGTTAGCATGTTGCTAAGCTAGTATTGCGATACTATAAAGATATAAACATCGCAAATACTGGGTCAAACTGTCGGTTTTTATTTAAAATATGTACTAAATGGAATATTTACAAGCATTTATTTTTCAAATTCTGTCCGCCATCTTTAGCGATAGTTTTAAATGAGCTAGCAATGCCTAAATGGGTTTCTGAACATAGCTTTTGAGAAATGGAGAAAAAAAAAGATATGGATGGAGGATGCAAGACAGAAACAGGCAGACAGGAAAAGAAGAAGCACAACAGGAAGTCAGAGGCTCAAGCTAACACATTACACATGTGAGCAGGTTTACACGACGCAGCACAACACCCTGCTGCTGCGATGGCGTGTATGATGTCAAAAGACAGGAAACGCACGCTACCTTTGCTCTGTGGTGGGTTCTGACTACGATCTCGCAGTATGTTGATCTGGTAGACGGCTCCGTACGGCTCAAAAAGCTCCTTTAACTCTTTCTCGGACCAGGAGCGAGGGATCTGACCCACAAACATCTTAATGGCGTCCGGATCAGGCTGGTCCGAGTGTTCCAGGGCGCCGTTCATCTTCCCAGCTGTACCGTTACTGCAGAGAGACAGAAAGCGAACGTTAGGAAGTGTCAACGGTGTATATCGTTGTCTGAGAACACTGGAAGATGTAAAGGAAGATGGGGAGTGAGAGGAGTTGGTCTCCAAGCTCACTGCGAGAGCAAATTTGGGCCCGACAGACCGACAACTGCTCCTCATTAAAGCAGGAAGACACAGAGACACAAACCCTGATTAAAATCACGACAGTGTTATTACACTCAGCGTGTGTGCTGTGTCTTGTGTGTGTGTGTGTGTTGATGTTGTGTTTATAGTCCTGAGCAGGTACAATTCAGACTCTGTTCCAGATTCAGGAAGCTCTATTACCAAATAAAATAACTTTCATTTGCTCAGAAACTTTCATTTGCAAAGAAAATGCACGTTTACAGCAAATTTAAAATAGGAGTATATGGGGCAAGTGGAGCAAATGCTAAAAATACACATCATGATTATGATGAAAATATCACCGTAATACTTACTTACAATATTAATTGTGTTACCATGAGATTATTGTGATAAAATTGCGTATTAAACTTGTCTGTGCAACACACAATTTGTCAACTCATGCCATGACCATGTAAAGCTGAATTTGCCGTTATTAGTGGTCGACCGATATTGGTTTTTTGACAGACGATGCCGATATCTTAAGAGAGCAGGGTGGCCGATGGCCGATATAAAGCCGATATATATAAGTATATTTTTTATTTTAATTATAATTTTTATTTATTTTAATTAATGTTTGAGAAACTTGAAATAATTTGAAAATGAATTGTATTAAAAATAAATAAAATATGTATAAAATATGTGTAAAATAAACATACTTATACTTTAGATGACAACTTCCTGATTCTATAATTCTATTACAGTATTTTTTACAAATAAAGAAATATTTTAAAATATATAAACAAAAAGAAAGTAAACACTGTATGCCTATGGCGAGTATTATGTGACAGGATTACCTGCCGGAGTTGACAGTCGTGTACTTTTACATGTGAGAAGGGTACGTCGCCTCCACAGATGCGTGATAAGTACGTCGTTGAGAAGTACGTCGCGTCCACAGACGCGTGATAAGTACATCGTTGAGAAGTACGTCGCCTCCACAGACGCGTGATAAGTACGTCGTTGAGAAGTACGTCGCCTCCACCAATTCAGAAGAGCGCACACACAGCCTGTGTCTGTGAATGCTTCTCATACTCGCTCCTCTCTGCCCCACGCGGCGCAAATCCTGCGTCACGGATGAGCCGTTCACGCTTGCCGCACTCACGCAGCCTGTCTCGTAATGCTCGTTTATACTCGCACCCGGCTCCGCACCGCACGTCTCCACGAGCGCATCTGGCAGTATGGATGAGGCTTGACGCACGTGCGCAACCTGCGTCGACTGGCGCCTGGCTCCGCGTTTAAAACGAATATTAAAATCGCAAATCAAATCGCAATATCTGTCAAAAAAATCGCAATTTGATATTTTCCCCCAAATCGCACAGCCCTAATTGGGAATCATATTTTTTCAACGAAAGCCAAGGTAACGCTCATTTTACATGCAGCACGCAGTAAAAATGACATGAATATGATAGAGCGCAAATGCATAAATCAGCATAGTTTGAAATAACGAGTTTAAAGTTGATCGCGCGTCTCCAGTGAAGCTGAACTCTCCTCCTGTCCGGATTCAATTCGCACGGATCGACTGTCACGCAGAGCACACGCGGTCAGGCAATATACAAATGCACACTTCACAAGATCTCACAGCTGGATTCGACTAAATCTGCAAGGTTTGTGAAATTAAATGTTCGTTAGTCATTTAAAGGTTTGTTTAAATTATATGCTTATTTGCTGAATGCTGACGGCAAACGAGAAAGTATTATGTCTGCCTTTCTGTTACTAATAATATAAAAGCAATCGTTATAATACTTTTTGTATACTTTTTAATTCATTTGTTCAACAGTTCTATCTGATTATTAGACAGACTTCTATCTGTATTAGGCAGAACTGTTAAACGACAACAACAAACAATGAAGAGGGAGAATGTGAGCACTGTGTTCTCAGCACCGTCAAAATAAAGGTCCGGCTTGCCGTCAAAATAAAAGTCCCGCCTCGAACACATCAGCCAGGCAGAAAAACGTATCGGCCGATGCCGATATTTGAAAAATACCAAATATCGGCCGATATATCGGCCTTGGCAATATATCGGTCGATCAATACCTATTATAGAAGAGTTTAACATCAAAAACTGTACTTGCTATTCTTGAAACAACTTGATTCATGTAAAAACCTGAAATGCATTAAAGAAAATCAATAAAGAGCTTTAACACAAATAAAAGCTTAACATTTTCGCTTTAAAACCATCCAGTACATTTGCCCCATAGACTTCCATTGTAAGCAGTTTACTGAAAACAGTTTCACAAATGCTACCTTCAACATGAATTGAAAGCAGAATTGTGAGTGACTCACACCAGAATGAAACAAATCATGACATGATAAAAATGGCTGAGCTGAGTCAGGATGCGAGACAGATCCGTGTGACCCCTAGACGCCCATGCTGCTGGTTCAACGAGTTCATGAGGAATTTCAGGCGCTTGTTTCAGTTCCAGATGAAAGCACGCAGAGAGAGAGAGAGAGTTATCGACCCCCACACTCACATTTCATTTTTAACCAGCTTACAATAACAAAATGAGTGAACAAGCCTAAACAAACTCAAAAATCACTGAGTGTCTACTCAATTTTATTTTATTTTGGTTTTGCTGATCGATGGCCAACCTGCCTGTTGCCCTTCAACTGATATGAAAATAAATAAAATAAATAAATAAATACTTCTATCCTCAGTGAAGAAGCATAATCATTTCCTCATGAGACTAATTATCGCACTAAGCATTCTGTGAGTAAGCCTCCTCCGCCTGTTTCAAGATAACCATTCAAATTTCTTTCCTTCGAAACGTGCATTTTGTTTTTTTTTATATATATAAGAGAGATATATATATATATATATATATATATATATATATATATACATACACATATATAGTATATGTTATGAAAATCAAAAAGTATAAACAAATAAATAAATATGAATGAAATACTTAAAATATAAAATGTTAATCCCTTTTCAAACTGACAAGAGACATTTAAAATTGATCAATTAATTCATAAATAAAAGTCAATTAAATATGTAAAGTTCAAAAAAGAGTCACTGGTCAACTGAAGCAACAAAATATGAAATATGAAAGTTTAAAACAAGCCCCAAATCAAATAAATAAATAACACAAATAAAAGAAATCTCTTCATATAAACAAACTAAGGCTTTGCCTCTTTCCATTCAGTTCGAGGCAACCACTGTATTTTAATCATGATCCAAACAAAGATGCTACATACAAATCTCAACCGATTTGAATCGTCACATATTTGTATCGTTTTTCAACCGGCTCGCGGTGCACCATTACATCCCTAAACATTGTACTATTAATGTACATAACAAAACATTTTGTAACTTAAAGTCAAGTTACAAAAGTGTAGAATATGGTGACTATAAAAATTACTCAGCACACAAATAAACTGAATCCATCATGAGGCCTGTACATAGATTATTCAGAAATGGTTTCCTATGGACAGTATTGTGTGTGTGTGTGTGTGTGTGTGTGTGTGCGAGTGTGTGTATACACACACACATATAAACATGATGCACTACACAATCACAGATTAGAAGTGGAAAAAAAGCCATAAAGAACTAACTCACTCAGTCATTCAACAAAGCCTAATTTCTCTTTAAACCGATGAAGTGATTTGTCATTCTATTCAAAAAAAAAAAAAAACAAGGCCTAGAGTTAAAGAGCAGCAACCGATAAAAAGAAAAGGTCGGAGGTAAAGAGAATAGACACAGACCTCTGGACTCGATTCATCCATCTCTTGCAGAAGGATCCTATTTTCTCCGCGGAGACGCCCAAGTCTTTGAGCGATTTAAAGGACATTTCTGCATGCGTCACGGGAAAGCCGTCCTTTCAAGTCCCCACGGCAACCGCTGCTCAGCTACCCCCACCCCAATAAATCCCCCGGCAGTTACCGCGGTGATAAGGGTGCCCCTCGCCGCTGATCAAAAATAAATAATGGCGAAAAAAGCGAGCATGACACAGGCACAAGAGCCAGAAACGGATTCTGATACAGAGAGAGGGATGGGACTGCGAGTGTCAGGGTGTTGTGCGTGTATGTGTGTGCTTGTGTCTGTCACAATTAGTAATTGTTTGGTTCGACAAGGCCCGACTGCAGGAATACAAAGGCACAAGTCACAGGAAGCCTGTAACAGTGTGCTGGAGGACACTCGCACACACTGGCCTGGGGTTGGGAACCACTAATGGTTTCTGAACATTTGCCTTCTTTTTCAGATGTAGAGTGAACACTTTTTTTTCAAGAACTGAATACTTTTATTCAGCAAGGATGCATTAAATTAATCAAAAGTGACAGTAAACACTAAATGACTTCTGTTTCAAATAAATGCAGTTATTTTAAACTATATTTCAAAGAATCCTGACAAAAATGTATGCACATTTTTTTTAAATCACTGCTTATTTTTTTTTTTAATTTTCAACATTGATAATAATAATAAATGTTTATTGAGCACCAAATCAGTGTATTAGAATGAATTCTGAAGAATCATGTGACACTGAAGACTGGAGTAATGACTGCTGAAAATTCAGCTTTGCCATTTCAGGAATAAATTACATATTCAAATAAATAAAATAGAAAGAGTTATGTTAAACTGTAATAATATTTCAAAATATTAATGCTTTGACTCTAATTTGATCAAATAAATACAGTATTGCTGGCTTTCAAAAACATTAAGAAGTCTTACCGATTCCAAACATCTGAACGACTTGATATTGCACAAAATAACAAAAACATGATCATTATAAGTTGCTTATTTTTAATGAAATTACCAAAATGACTCCTGAAAGCTCTCACTCACTGAGCTTGTTTATAATATATATACACAAAATAAAAGTAGACTAAATGGTATAA